CATTTGTCTCAGGATATTAATAAGGAAATCCCAGTTCACATGATCATAGGCTTTCTCAATATCAAGCTTACACATGATTCCTGGGGTTTCACCTTTAATCCTTGAATCTACACATTCACTAGCTAATAGAGCTGCATCTAGGATATGTCTGCCCTGTATGAAGGCCATTTGATGTTATGTGGGACAAAAGATCATGGAAAGGGGAGATGGTGGAATATGGGAACCAATCAATTACTTGTAAATTATGTGGAGTTAATCAAGAACTAACTTGGTTTCTCACAACAGTCTATGCATCTTGTGATAGAAATGAAAGGATGGAGTTGTGGGAAGAATTAGGAGCTATGAGGAGTCTGTGTGAAGGACCCTGGGTAGTATGTGGGGATTTCAATACTACTAGGTTTCCTTCCGAGAAAACCAACTGTATCAGGCTTTCTAGAGCCATGATAGATCTGTCCAGCTGTATCAACGAATTGGAGTTGATTGACCCCCCTTTATTTGGGGGCTCATACACTTGGAGAGGAGGGGAAAACCATAGGAATGCCTCCAGGATTGACAGATTTTTATACTCGTTCCCATGGGATGACATGTTCCTTCAAATTAGGCAATGTACTCTACCTAGCTTGGGGTCTGACCATAATCCCATTGTCTTAATATGTGGGAATAAGGCATTCAGGAGATCTTATTTCAAGTTTGAAAAGTGGTGGCTTAATGTAGAGGGTTTCAAAAGTAAAGTTCATGAATGGTGGAGCTCCTTTGAAGTGTCAGGAAGACCGGACTACAAACTAGCTACTAAGTTGAGGCTTCTTAAAATAAAACTGAAGGAATGGAGCAGAGAAAATAGGGGGAACTGGAAGGCAAGGAAGGAGCAAATTTTGAGTCAGATAGGGGACATGGAAGTTACTCAAGAGTCAAGATCTCTTACTGATGATGAACAGATACTAAAGGTACACTTGGCCATGGAATACGAGGAGGTGGCAAAAAATTAAGAAATTTTTTGGAGACAGAGGTCCAGAATTCAGTGGATCAAGAATGGTGATAAAAATACGAAGTATTTCCATAGAATGGCAACAGCTCACAAGAGAATCAACACCATTGAGTCATTAATGATTAATGGTGAGTTATTTTCCAAGCCAGTGGAAATCAAGAACTCTATTGTGGATTTTTACCACCATTTGTATAAGGAGGTAGAAAATTGGACACCGTCACTAAATATTCTTAACGTACAGAGAATAACAATGGAGGAGCAGATCTGGTTATCTAGAGAATTCAGTGAGGATGAGGTGCTAGAAGGGATAAGATTGTGTGCTTGTGATAAAGCACCTGGGCCTGATGGTTACACCATGGCCTTCTTACATGCATTCTAGGAAACTTTCACTGTCACCAAAGTTTTGAGAAGAGTTTCAATGCTACCTTTGTGGCTCTAATTCCTAAGAAGGTGGGGGCAAATGGTCTAAGAGACTTCAGACCAATCAGTCTCATTACTGGGGTTTATAAAATAATTGCCAAAGTGTTGGCAGAAAGGCTGAAGAAGGTGATAGACAAGCTAGTCAACAAAAATCAAATGGCTTTCATTAAAGGGAGACAAATAATGGATGTTGCTTTAATTGCTAGTGAATGTATTGATACTAGGATTAAATGAGATGTGCCAGGGGTAATGTGCAAACTGGATATTGAAAAAGCCTATGACCATCTTAATTGAGACTTCCTGATCAACACTCTTAGACAATTGGGTTTTGGCCCTACATGGCTCAAGTGGATTGAGTACTGTATTAAAACCACCAGGTTCTCCATTTTGGTTAATGGAGAACCTGTAGGTTTTTTTCCTGCTGAAAGAGGTCTTAAACAAGGAGACTCTTTGTCCCCTTTCCTGTTTATCATTGCCATGGAAGGGTTGGACAGTTTGATGAGGAGAGCTTCGCTAAACAACTGGATTAGGGGTTTCAGAATCAAAAACAGGGTTAATGAGGTGATGGATATGACTCATTTATTGTATGCGGATGACACAATAATTTTTTGTGAAGCAGAGCAGGAACAACTCTATCACATCAGAATTATTCTGGTAATTTTTGAGGCGTGCTCTGGACTTTCATTACTTCATTCTTTCCATATCCCTCTCATTTGTTCTCAGTTACTCATCAAATGGCACTCAGTTCATATCTTTAAGTTCGATCATTGACAAGGTTCAAAGAAAGGGTGGGCCATTGATAAAGAATCGATGGAAAACCACAATGCTAGCAGATGGCGGGCCTCCGCTTTTCTTTTCATTATTGAAACCCGCCAGTTATTATTATTATGAACTCAAATAAAAGGACAAAATTTAAGGTGAACTGGAGAAAAAGTAGCATTTTTCCTATTAAAGAGGTCCAACAGATTCAAGCTTTGGCCAATATATTGAAGTGCAAGATAGAGAGGTTGCCTACAGTTTATCTAGGTCTGCCATTGGGTGCTAAGCATAAAGCAGTTAGCATCTGGGATGGTGTACTAGAAAAATCAGAGAGGAGACTGGCACTTTGGAAATCCCAATATCTATCCTTGGGGGGAAGAGTCACTTTGATTAATTCTGTTTTAGACTCTTTGCCAACATATGTGATGCCACTTTTTCCCATTCCCGGCAAGGTAGTCAAAGCTATAGACTCATTGAGGAGAAACTTCCTTTGGCAAGGTAACAAGATTGAGAAGAGCTACAACTTAGTTAAATGGATGGCGGTTCAACAAAGCAAAAGATTTGGGGGTTTGGGAGTAAGAAACCTAAAGATACACAACAACAACTTACTTACCAAATGGTTGTGGAGATACAATTTGGAAGATCAAGCTCTATGGAAGGAACTCATTCAACACAAGTATGGTCAGGAAGATCAATGGTGTTCAGAGGAAGTGACAGAAACATATGGTGTGGGAGTATGGAGGACTATAAGAAACCTATGGCTGGCTTTCAGAGACAATGTAAGGATAAAGGTTGGTCAAGGAAATAAGGCTTTGTTTTGGAAGGAAAACTAGACTGGTCAAGGGTCCTTGGAAAATTTATTCCCTAGGTTTTTTCCATTTGCCTGAATCCTGACAGCAAAATACAAGAGGTTTGGTCCCCACAAGGATGGAATTTGCTCTTTAGGAGATTTCTTAATGATTGGGAAATAGAGTGGGTATCAGATATGCTAGCTTTGATTGGAGATTTTCCTGGCACAAATCTGGAAACAGATAAATTGCTATAGAGGCATCATACTGATGGTCAATTCTATGTGAACAGAATGTATAAAAGGGATCTAGCCACAATTGCGGGGAAGAAATCAGGGCCATGGAGTGCTATATGGAAGAGTGTAGCCCCTACGAAGGTGAAGTGTTTCACTTGGTTGGTAACTAGGAGAGCTTGCCAGACACATGATAAACTTCAAAAGAGGGGAAAAATTATTGCCTCAAGATGTTATCTTTGTAAAGAGGCTCTAGAAACCAACAATCATTTGTTTCTCCATTGCAAAGTAACAACACAAGTATGGGCTCTATTCACCAATATAAAGAGCCTAAATTGGATTATGCCAGAACATACACCAGACCTACTAAGTTGTTGGGTCAGAAGGGGAGGTAATAAGAGCCAGAGGAGGTGGTGGAGAACAATACCTTCTTGTATCTAGTGGATCATTTGGAAGGAGAGAAATCAAAGAATTTTTGTAGGGAAAGAATGCACTATAGAGAAGATTAAGTGGAAAGTAATTACCACTTTAGGTTTTTGGTGTAAAGAAATGAACATAGAAGAAGAAATTCAACTAGTGGATTTCATAGGAGCTTTGTAAGTAGTCCTATTTATTTTGTTGGTTTTTCTATGTAACTAACACTTTTGGAGGTGGCCAGCATAGCCCTTAATGCTGAGGAATACAATGTTACAAGTTTCAAAAAAAAAACTAAAAGCAATTTTCAACAATTAGGTATTATCTCAACCATGACCAAGCGCCAATTCTTTTTGTTTAGAAAAAGAATCTGAAGCTGCCAACAGGATCAGACCTTCAATGTTGAACCAACGCTTTGGAGAAGCTCTCAAGCATCATTGCTTTAGCCAAATAAACGTGTAAAATATTTAAAGGGTAGTTACACTCATGAGGTATCTTTCGGGGATTTACACGTAAAATGTAAGGGAGGGACTCGAAAATGGAAACTAGAGCTAAAAGGGTGCTTAGTTATCAAAGAACTTAACGAAAGGAGTTAGTTTACAAACAGAGTCCCAACAGAGCAAAAATGGGAAGATCAGAGTGGTACCAGAACTCCAGAATAAGGGAGCACATATTTTCTGAACATGTGGCCAATAACAATCTATCAATTTAAAAAGGTCTTAAATCAAGGGTTCTCAGACCTCATTAATCATTATCAACATGAATCAGTCAGCTACTGCTAAACAAGGATTAACAGAGCTCTTGAAGGGACACTCACTAGAGTGCACAATGTATTGCCACTCACTGTTCAGAGCTTGAGAATACATGCTTCCTAGATGTCTTCTTTTTTTCTTTTTAATTTGGATTGTGAATGAACTATGGTATTCGACATCAAGTATCTTATTCAATATCCTCCAATTGTTTACCAATCTATGGTATCACTAAGCAAAGAACTAAGGAACAGATTGCAGACCAAAAAAGTGAAATGATTTTGCAACAGGTTGAAGATTATATTGATTAATGAATTTCCGTGAACACAGTCTCTATACCATAATTCACCTATGTGAAATAACCTTTTGAGCAAGCATAACCGGTCCCAAGTACGGATAAACTAGGAGTGTGATGCAGGTAAATAGTTAGAAAAAAAGTTATCAAACTATGACTACTGTCGATAATAACAAGTTTGGAATTTAGGTATAGATTGATTATCTAAGTGGTGATTGTTTATACAGAAGAGTCAACCAAAATGCATGAAGATTAATCTTTTTTGATGAGATGAGAGAGCTAAATAAAAATAACTACAATCCATTAATACAAAAAGCTACTCAAGTGAAAACTACTGTAAACTAGTGGAGCAAATACCTTCTTGGCGTCAATTTGACTTTCCAAAACTCGTGGAGATAAAGTTCTAGCTAATGAAGTTGATCTCGACCAGTCAAAGATTGATGCCTGACCCCTTAGAATCCGCCTCAGATGCTCCTGGAAATTTATAAAAGAAAATCTTACAATCTAACAGTCAGTCAAACATTAATCTAAAGCTAAGAAATTGGGCACATGTAACATGAGATTTGAAGGCTTAAACTGATGGTCCCTTCCACTACAGAATAGGAGATAGTCAATGGCCTTGAGATGAGATTAGACAATCTTTTGATTATAACCGAGAAATCCCTGAGGATCAGTTACGCACGGCTCAAAGCTCAGATTTGAAGGCTTATACTGATGGTCCATTCCACTATAGAATTATTTTTTTTGAGAAGGTAATCATTTTGTTAACAAATGGGGGGAAAACCTCGTATACAACCCGTATATCAAAAGAAGAGAACCTACATCAAAATATGGTTCTCAACAAAAGAGATCCACCTCAATGCAAATAGGAACCTCGAAAGTACACCAAAAGAAACACTACTCTGCAATTATACAAAGCCTTGCTCCACCCCTTTGAATGCCCTCCTATTTCTCCCTTTCCAAATGACCCACATGCTTGCCAAAGGGGCTACACTCCATGCCCTTGAGCTTCTGTTCCCCCTCCTATGAGTCCAACTTAGTAAAGCCTCCTTCACTGTGCCCGGCATTCAACTTTGTCATGCCTCCTTCACTGTGTCCGGCATCACCCATTGCATCCTAAACAAGTTGAGGCCTGAGGTTCACCCTCCATAACCAATTAGCCACGTTGTTTTTCTCCTGCACTCTTACACATAAAGCACCAACTAACATAGGCGATCCTCCTCTTCCTCAAATTTTTCGCTTTTAAGATCGCACACTTCTCGCCAACCATACAAAGAAACACACCTTCCTCGCAGCTCTAGAGATCTAAATAGAGCCGTAGGGGAAAGTGTCTTCCCCTCCCACTAGTAATCTCTTATAAAAGAGCTAACAATGGATAATCCATCTCCACTCTCACCAGCTCCATCCATCCGATAAATTATTAGGATTGATTAGCCCATGTGAAAACTCAATCAGATTGTGAAATTCTTCCATCGCCGAAGCCTGTAGGTTCCTACCAAATCTTAAGTCCCCATGAATATCCCCTTGTGAGACCCATTAATTAGTTGGGTTGTCTTCTCTCTTTGGCAAGATACACGATATAAATAAGGAGAAACCTCTCTCAACTTGTTCTCTCCACACCATTTATGTGCCCAAAAACTAATTTTGCTCCGTCCCCTACCTTAAAGGAAATATATCCACAAAAATCTGTTCGCCCATTCAGACTACTCCTCCACAAACCACACCCATACAAAGTTATTGTTAGAATATGAATAGGAACAAGAATAGAATATAAAACCTTATTTAGAATAGGAATAGAAATTGAAATAGTATATAGAGTCCTACTTGGAAAAGGATTGTACTGTAGTGTCCTAGTTGGAAAAGGAGTCTAATGTAGTGTCTATATATAGGGTCTCAATGTAATAATGTAGAGACACAATTCGATAATATTTTTCACCAATATTTCTCACATGATATCAAAGCCTCTACGATCTTGGTAGAGAATCGAAGAGCTTCCGCTGTCGGCTGGCAGGCGGCTATTATTTATATATGCCGCCCGTCTGACCAACGATTATTTAGCAAAAGTTGGGTCACCATGTATCTTTCCGGTGACTATTTTCTCATATCTAATTTGCATAGCACTGTGCATCTTTCCGGTAACTACTTTCTCATATTTCATTTATGTAGAGCACCGTACCATCATTCCGGTGACTACTTTCAGATATCTTATTTGTGTAGCACTGTGTCATCTTTCTGGTGACTACTTTCTCATATCTGATTTGTGTAGCATCGTGCCAACTTATTGTGGACACATAAAAAACTTTCTTTAGTCTATTAGAAAGCATCTTATAGATAATCTTGTAAATGTTTCCTACCAAACTAATAGGTTTAAAATCCTTAATACTGGTCGCTCCATCCTTCTTTGGCACAAATTTCAATGTTAATAACAGACGCATTAAGACTTTTCTCGAACTCCCTAGTATTTTTTGAATTCCACAATGGTTTCTATCAACTCACCTTTAACTATCCTCCAACATTGTTGGAAAAAAGTTAAAGTGAATCTTTTCGTTCCAAAGCATTGTCCCCCACAACTCCTCGGCTTTTCTTGTCTATAGCCTATTCAACCACTCCCTCATTCCTTCCCACATCTACCTAAAAACTAACCTACCCCATCCTACCCCGCTCAATTTCAATCTCGACTTGATATCTTCCTTAAGAAAATGATCATAAAAACCTACAATGGCCCCCTTCACTTCCTCCTCCCCCTCATACAGTGACATTCACATCACGTGACTCAATAAAGTTTTTCTCCTATTTGCTACTGCAACTCTATGAAAAAAACTTATATCAGAATCCCCCTCTTTCAACCACAACGCCCTCGATTGTTGCCCCCAACTAATCTCTTGAGCAACGCTGAAGCGGCAATCTCCCCCTTCACCTCCTCCTTCCAATTTCTCTCCCTCTCTTCTAACCCCCTAACCCCTTTTGCATGCTCTATCTACCCCACTTCATTAATCAACTCTCTCATTTTAATTTCCACCCTCCTAAGAACCTATTTATTCCACTTCCTTATATCTCCTTCTAACAATTTTAACTTGCAAACAAGTCGGAAAGATGGTGTGCCAACAACTTCATACCTATTCCACCAAGCATTAACTCTATCAACGAAAACCAGGTGCTTTGAGCCACATATTCTCAAACCTGAACAGAATACACAAGCTCCTCCTACTCCCATCTAACATGATAGGCAAATCATCTGAAATCAATTTGGAAGAGGGGCTTGAAACACATCTACAACCATCTCCTCCACGTCAATGAACACCATGAATCTATCAAGTCTAGATTTAGAAGTGGAATCTCCAACTCTAAGATGAGATTAGACAATCATTTCTTTTAAGAACCAAGAAATCCTTGAGGGTCAGTTACGCACGATTTGAAGCTCAATAGATAATGAGCATGCTCCTCTACCTTTCTCCACTTAAATACCAGACGGTTCTCATATGCAGCACGGTTTGAACCCTTAGTGTGCGCCTAACCCACATATCATGCACTACACATCTTACCATTAGACCAAAGCTTAGCACCGAGGATTTTGAACAATCTTTTTTGTTGTTAGGTTATGATGACCTTTTCTCAGATGTATTGGAATACTTTAACATGGGATCATGGAAGCCTTTGATGAGTTCCACAATAATGGGGGTTATACACTTTGAGTCGTTCTCATTTTCGTTTATTTTCACATTGTTCAATTGATGAGAATTGTGGTAGAGATCATTCAGCATCTTGGGTGCAGCATGTATACTGTTGTCATATAAGCTTCTTTTTTTTTTTCGAGGCAAAAAGGTATCTTTATATTCAATAATAGCCAAACTCATCATCCAAAAATTGATGAGAATGAATCAGTTGCAACCCTTCTGGGCAAGGCAAAAAACATAGACACTAATCCATGTGTCTTAACATATTTCCTACAAAATCAACAAAAAGTTCTATTTCCCTCAATCATATCCTGTTTACACCAAAAATAAAGCAAACTAAGGAAGTTTTTGATTTTCTGAATGTTGTTAATCTCGTCTTCAAAGCATCTTGTATTTCTTTCCTTCCACAAAGTCAACCAAATGCAGGTTGGGATCAGATCCCACCAGTCCTCATCTGCTTCTCTTCTCCCAGTCTCTTTCCAACTTATCAGCAAACCTTTAGTGGTCTTCGGCATCACGCAGCACACTACCAGAATACATAAAAACATGTTCCACAGATTTACAGCTGTTTTGTAGTGTAGAAAGAGATGTTTTTGGGAGTTTTAAGTCATTCCTCGAAATTCATGTCAGAGAGAGATATTCTTCAGCTGACAAGTCATCTAAGCATGTTCTTTGCATCAATTTTTGGGTTTTGGAATATTCTAGCAAGACCGAAACTTTATGGAGAAAAGCAATGTTTGCAATCGTATGATGCATTTGGCTTGAAGGAAATACGAGAATATTATTGGACAAGAATGTGTCTCCAGCCTATGTGTAGGATAGACAATTATTTTTTCATACCAGAGCAAGATCTTTACTCCAGCTACATCATTTGGACTTCAGATATTTTTTTCCTTTTTGGTGACAGGATCTTCAGGGAGATTGGGAGGCACCTCTGTTTGGAATTGCCTTACCTTACAACCCCCCAATCTTCCCTGCATTTGGTACCTGAGAACTATTCATATACAGCTTGACATTGTATACGTACAAGTACACCACTGTCTTCACAATCCTGGATAGGATCAAAATCTTATACATGGGATAGTCTGTTACTTGAGCATTCGCACTATCTGACTCAGCCAAAATTTGTGAAGGAAGCAATTTGTAAGTTTGACTCCAAGTTGACCAAGATTTTGATTGGAAATGACTTGTGCTTCAATTTTACTGACAATCAAGGGAAAAATTAACTCTTAACACGTAACTGTCCTGATGCAGCATTCATTTATGAGCAGTGTCACCCAGAGTTACCATAAGGATTAAATCAGGGAAATTGTGAAGGAGACAAGGGTTCCAAACTTGACAACAGAGATCAAATGGGTTAGGGTTACTTAGTGTGAATTCACAGAAGTCAACTTTCCATTTCTTCCTGATTCCATAAAAGATGATTTCAGTCTAATATTGAATACTGAGGAGAGTAAACCCTGCCTTTATAACAAACTGGAAAAATATCCAAAAAGAGCCTCTTCTCCAGATCAGATAATGTAATTATCAAAGGAAAATACATCTGCAGCAGAGAAGTGATGAACAATGAAGAAATGAATACCAGCATAAATAGTAGATACTCAATACTCACCAACAAGTGCGAAAAATCAAGTTCCTTATGCGTGACTGAAAATTCTATGTCGAATGGGGCAATCTGGAAGGCACCTTAAGTTAGAATCCTGCAGCCATGACAAGAACTAGGAATTTCAAAAGCAAGTAAGAGAAACCTGCCTGCTCTCTCAGGATGAGTAGATGCTTTATTAGGAAAAGTTGTGCATCCATTGATGACGATCTTTTGCCAATAAGTTTGCTAGCTTTCTGAAGGAATTAGAAGTTCAGTAATAACAAACAGCATATTGAACAAAAAATACGAATGATACACATTACAAATTTTAACAGCATAATCAGCAGAAAAGTCAAATACATGAACTTCAACTAAAGAAACTTACTTGAATGGATAATGAGCAGAACTCTACAGCTTCCTGAGAAAGAAAAAGAGTAAGGATCCAGTAACATCTGGCTACGATTAGAAGGGACATTGATAGCAAAAGTAACTGCTTACCTGAGCTAATCCAGTAAAAACAGCTGATTCTAGAGAACAGTACAGTTTTGATAGACATGATACGGTTTTCTCCAGGGGAGGATACCAGGTTCCGGAAACATCTTGGTTTTGTTCAGTCTGCACCAAATTTAAAATAAGGAATCAGAGAATATGGTGCAAAGTAGCAAAAGAAAAAAAACTAGGGAGAAAATATGGTGCTAAATCGCAGAAAATCATGTTTAACAGCAAAGAGGCAGGAAAAGTATCAGCAAAAAAACAAATTCAAGTTACATAAATCAGCATAAATCAACTTATTCTCTTCTAAAACAATTTTATTAATATACACAAAGTCTTTGAGAAGGTTTCTAAAGCAGCACACTTGACCTATTGAAAATAAAATAACCAATTAAAAGATCTATAGTTTATACTAATAGAAATCCTAAAACTCTTTCTTAAAAGAGAAGAATTTTAATATACAAATTCCATCAGACCTCTGATTCCAATTTTTAACCTTTAACTTTAAAATGGCTTGCTTTGTACTGTGCAATAAATGTCACCCAACTAGAATCACAGGTCAAAAAGAGTCAGTTCACACCCTTGAGCAAGATATTGATTTACAGAACCTCCATATATCAAACTGCAACCTCCATAAGAGAATGCAAACTCCTCCACCAAAAAATTACAAAGACCTCCAAAAAAAAAAAGATAAAGATAAAAGCTATCCTAGCCCTTACTTCCTCTAAAGATATATGTTACAGAAGTCAACTGAATACCCATCACAGGACCAAGAGTTTGGCACTTACAGATGGTGAACCCAGTTCTGCTGAAACAGATTGCTCCAACTTTTTAGGGTAATCCAGATCCTCGTCTGAAGGAAGGTAATTTGCAATCTGAAAACAAAGCAGGGAAAGAAAGCAGACCAAATTATTTGTAGACCACTGGTTACTTGTGAGGAAATTCAAGCATACAGAAACCAAACATACATGTGTGCTCCTTACTTCAGCCATCCCAACTTATATGGTCTAATTCCTTCTCTTATCAATCCCAACTTATCATATTTAATAGACGACACTTTTCATCTCCATACAAATCCATTGAAACTCCTAGCAATAACTACTACACCTCACTCCAAACTAGTTGGGGCCAGCTATATGAATCATCAGTGACCATGTTTCTCATTTAAACATATCTCAACCGAACGTTATACAACATTGAAGCTCATACCACTTTGCATTATTAATCCAAACAAACGATGTACAGAGTAGAAAATGGAAATATGGCAGGAAGGAGAAAAGATTAGCTCGGGAACCGAATGAACATTGAACAAATATCAAATCAACAGTACCAAAAATAAGGTAAACACGAAAGAGTTTCCTCGTAATGATGCATAGGCCCATATTTTTCCATAAACTTGTAAATAAATCACATGTTGGTGCTCTTTTTGTACCTAGGTAGCACAACCATGGTGCCTTTTTATAAAATTATTCTAGGCTATAAAAAAAGAGAAACTATAATCTACAACCTTCTAAAATTTTCATTTTTCCTTTGTATCTCCAACACTAAGAGGATGTTTGGATTGGCTTAAAAGTTGGTCAAACCTACTTTTAAGACAGTTTTGACTACTTGAAGTGTTTGGCAAATATAAAAATAACTTAAAATGAGTTAGGAAGTGTTTGGCAATATTAAAAATAGCTTAAAATAAGTTTAAAATGACTTCAGATAAGTTCAAAACCAAAAGTAGGTCTCCCCCTACTTTCTATTTTTTTGACTTAAAAAGTCTTTTTTTTTTTTTTTTTTGATAACAGACTTAAAAGTCATTTAAGTTTGACTTTAAGTTTTTGACTTAAAAGCTACTTTTTTTTAAGCCAATCCAAACGGGTTCTAAGTGAAACTAAGTATTTCAGAAAAGGATGAAGTACATACTAGATTCAAATTCCAAAAGGTTACTCAACATCACATAAATTGGTATAATTCACTCAAGAGCCTCTTGGATATGTCCAACTGTCAGAAGTCTGCCACAAAGCATATTCCTTCTGCCACGCAAGAGTCAACTTTCGAGTAAGTTATCATGATAAGCCGATCATAAGAAAGAATGGAAAATATAAGTGATTCAAACTCCAATGAAGAATTCCTCACTTTCACTAATGGGCGATTCTGTTTGAAGGTACTACATATCACAACAATGGAAGATAGTGCAGCTAAGAGAACAATAAAGAGAAAAGCTAAGCTATGAGCAACAGTATATAGTATATGCCATGAGATAAAACCTGCTTATGTTTGCAAATAAATGAATGTTCCATTTTTAACCAAAATCAATGCAACAGGAAAAGAAGGCCTAATTTATCCAGTAACTAATTTTGGCACTATTCATCTATCCATGAGGGTGCTGATTAAGTGATAATATTATCTCATGTCCGAGTAACAGATAAGTCGCCAAACAGCATTTAAATAAAATGCCCGAGCAATACTTGGGATGTTACCTCATCACGGATATAGGTGCGAGCACGAAAAGTTAATCGCTCGTGAACATCTGCTAGAATCCTGTCCAGCGTTGGACGTAGCCCAGCCAATGACTCCCCCCGTCTGCTCAGTTGTTCTCCTAGAACTTCAACTTTAAGGATATCAACCAGTTCACAAAGAACATCCAGGTTTGTTTCGTGAATAAGTTTAGGACGCAATGTATCATAGAGGAAAGTACACCTGCAGTTGGTAGGGAGGTAATTGTAACCTTAAGAGACATAGAGATCAAGTTACTTATCATCAAAAAAAACAAAGCTCAAGTTCCAGCAGCTTCAGGGGCATATAGATAATACATCCTTTGTCCCATTTTATGCAACACATTTTCCTTTTTAGTCTATCCACAAAAGAATGACAACTTTTCCTTTTTGGAAACTATTTAACTTTAAACTTACATTTTTACCCTTAATGATATTATTTATTGTCACACAAATGTCTATGGTCTGTTATAGACCACAACAACAACAACAACATACCCAATGAAATCCCACTAAGTGGGGTCAGGGGAAGGTAGAGTGAACGCAGACCTTACCACTACCTCGTGGAGGTAGAGAGGCTGTTTCCGAAAGACCCTCAGCTCAAGGGTACACTAAGTGGACCTGTTATAGACCACAAGTTTCAAAAGTCTTCCTTTCTTTTTTAAACTCCATGCTCAACAAACACCGTAACCTAAAATAGGATGGAGGGAGTATAACGTGTCAACGCTTCATTAAACTGCTGTAACTGGACCAACTGAGAGATGGGGCAGGAGCACATGGATTTAGATGCTATGCACAGAATATTCATATCATGTTATGCAGAGGACATAAGCTCAAAAACATGACTTCTCATGGACTACATAAATAAGATTATTTATGAATAAAGGAGGCAAGTAGAAATATAGTTTGAGAATGCAGGAGGCAGAGAATATCTGATTGCATATCTCCGATTACTAGAATGGAGCAAAGATAAAAGTAATGTTATCAAGTGAACCAAATAACACGTTCCATTACCTTTTTATATATAAAAGGTACATGTTTCACTGCTGATTAAACTTACTACCACTGAAATCTGCCATTAGATTTTTTATTTTTTTTTGATAACCGAGAAATCGGACTGTGACCCGCCCTTTGGACCAATCACAGCCTTCTAAACTCAGTGGATAATGGGCCCGCCCCTCTACAAATCTGCCATTAGATTTGACTGTCAGTAACCGTAACTCCCTCCATTGGTATTATCTAATCACATTAACTTGACAAGAAAAACTATAAAAATGGTAAAGCCTATATTCTAGGTCAAATTTTGAATGATAAAAGCGCAAGGCTTTATGTCTCTCTGCCCCACAATCAGGAGGACATACATGTAAGTTAAAATACCCAGAGAAGGAAAAAAGAAAATTATGAGCCAAAAGAATGGTACAGGTATAATGGACATCTCGTTTCATATATCACCCATGGGGGTAGTGTTCAGGAAAGCGAGCGCTTCATTGCTTTAAGCAGTGTCGCAAAGCGAAGCGAGAGTTCAGCGCTTCAGCCAGCTGAAACGAGGCATGTGAAAAGAAGCAGCCGCTTCTGGGCTTGAAGTGAGATGCGACCAGAAGCAGTGAAGCGAGAAAAGCAGCGCTTTTATTTTTTTAGTAAGTGGTCGATTTTAAAGAATAAAAAGAGGTGTGACTTGCCTAATCCTTAAGAAATTAGAATAGTAAGGTTTCAGTGTACTCTTTCCTTCCAGTACCTTTTCTCTTTTCTTTATTCGTCTTCTTCTTCTTTCTTCTTCATTCTGGTGCAGTGGCACTGCTAGCCTAGGATTTTCTTCTTTTCTGCTACTCTTTTCGTTACTCTGTTTTCCTTTGCCATGTATAGCTTTGATTATTTAAACTATATGTTGCCGAATTTTTTTTCCTCACAGTGATTAAATATATATTGCTGAATTGTTTTGTTTCTTAACAATGACTAAAATGTTGAATTTTTTCTTAATAATGATAAAAATAATAATGTTGATTGTTTTTCTCAAATTTTATCCGCGATGTAAAATGCCTAACCCGGGATGTAAATATGAGAAAAAAGTTGGTGAGACCAATAGGATAACAATTGTATGTCTGTTTTGTGACGAGACAAATCAAGGGGAACCTTTATTTAGTTTTTAATATGATTTTTTTCTTATATATTTTGTCTCTATTTATTTTGGTCTTTTTTCTTTTAAATTGAGCTTCATTTCAATGAAGCGAGCGCTTCACTTAAAACGTGAAGCGGAACCTTGTCGCTTTTTACCGCTTTGCGCTCCCCTAAGCATTGCATGGGGTGACTGGAAGCCCCAGATAGTGAGAGAAGTCAGCATATCACAAAGAAACACATCACATGTAGTAACTGACAACAATTAGGTTTCCTTAGGCCTCATTTGTTTGCATTTAATGATGGTCTAAATCTTAACCATTCATATCTCAATCATTAAGTCCGTTTGTTTTTTAGATCTGAATCATTCAAATCTTAATCTTAAAATATTTTTGTTAGAATAAGAATAGGTTTATACAATCCTATTAGAATAGGAATAGGTTTATACAATCCTATTAGAATAGGAATAGGTTTATACAATCCTATTAGAATAGGAATAGGAACAGAAATAGAAATAGGAATACTAAATAGTATCCTACTTAGCAAAGATTGTATTGTAGTATCTATAAATAGGGTCTCAATGTAGACACAACAACAATTCAATAATATTTTTTTCCTATATTTCTCACATGGTATCAGAGCCTCTACGATCTTGGTAAACAATCTAAGAGCTTCCGCTGCCGGCGGGCAGCTATTATCCATATATGCTGCCCGTCCGGTCAACGAATTATGTTAGCAAAAGTTGGGTCACCGTGTATCTTTCTGGTGACTATTTTCTCATAACTAATTTGTGTAGCACCGTGCCACATTCCAATGACTACTTTTTATATTTAATTTGTGTAGCACCGTGCCATCATTCCGGTGACTACTTTTTCATAATTAATTTATGTAGCACCGTGCCATCATTCCGGTGACTACTTTTTTATAATTAATTTGCGTAGCACCGTGCCATCATTCCGATGACTACTTTCTCATATCTGATTTGTGTAGCACCGTGTGATCTTTTCGGTGACTATTTTTTCATATTTAATTTGTGTAGCATCGTGCCATCCTTCCGGTGACTACCTATTTTTGCATATCTGATTTGCGTAGCACCATGCATCTCTCCGGACTACTTTTCATATTTAATTTGTGTAATACCGTGGATTTTTCCGAACTACTTTCTCATATCTGAGTTGCATAGCATCATGTGTCTTTTCAGTGACTCCTCAGATTTGATTTGCATAGTTCCATTCGTCTTTCCGGTGACTCGTCAAATCTGATTTGCGTAGGTTGTGCCATCAGTCCAACCCTACCCGTATAATTTTTCTTTTTCAGTAGGGTCGTGTCATCATTCCGACCCTACCCATATTATTTCTCTCTTTTAATGGGGTCGTTCCATCAATTCAAACTATCATATATAATTTTTATTTTCTAGTTGGGTCGTGACATCATTCCGACCCTACCAATATAATATTATTTGTTAGATTGTGACCACTTTTAGCCATCAAATCTAATACTCCGGCATATGAGCATGTTCCGGCTAGTTTTTCGGTGACTTTATATCGACTCGTCTATTGATTCCAACATGATCCATATACTTTATACTAGATTTTGAACACTTACAACGACCGATGCATTGTGAAGAAGTCTATATGGAGCAACCACCTAATTTTGTTGCTCAGGGGGTGTTTAGTAGCCTTGTATGTTGATTACGTAAGTCACTCTATGATCTGAAACAGTCTTTACAAGCTTGGTTTGGGAAGTTCCAACACTATAATTTTATCACTCTGTGTTTTATCGGCATTACGCATCAAATTCAGTATTTCATGAGAAGACCAAGCACATTGAGATTGATTGTCAGTTTTGTGAAGTCGGTTGTTCAACTTGCAGATACATCACCAAGCCCCTCATCGGTTCTCGTGTTAATTACATTTGTAACAAGCTAGGTACATGAATTGTATGCACTAGCTTGAGGGGGAGTGTTAGAATAGGAATAGGTTTATACAATCCTATTAGAATAAGAATAGATTTATACAATCATATTAGAATAGGAATAGGAATAGAAATAGAAATAGGAATACTTAATAGTATTCTACTTAGTAAAGGATTGTATTGTAGTGTCTATAAATAGGATCTCAATGTAGACATATCAACAATTCAATAATATTTTTTTTCCTATATTTCTCACAATTTTTAATGTTTTTTTTCTTGTTACAAGCACTAAATGGGTTTGAATTAGAGGTGGCAAAATTAAACCCAACCCGACCCAACCCATTTAGGTTTGGATTGGTTATTGACCTGCCCATTTGTTAGCTCAAACCTTTTCAACCCAACCCATTTCAACCCATTAAAAATTGAGTTGATACAACCCAAATTGATTTTTGAGAAATCTTGTCAAAATATTTTTAATTTTTTTTTTTATTATTTTATATGTTATATATAGTTATAATAAAGAAAAAAAAATTATTAGGTACTAAAAGCTTATAAAATAACAAATAAAGCCATTAAAACTTAGTAAAAATTGGGCAGGTTGGGTTATGACCCTTTCCTAACCCGTTTTGACCCAATCCATTTTGGCCCAAGCAAATTTGGGTTGGGTTGGGTCCAGTGGCGGAGCCAAGATTTTCAATAAGGGGGTTCAAAATCTGGAGAAATAGACACATGAAGTAGCCAAAGGGGGTTCAACATCTATTATATATACCTAAAAAATTATTTTAACCATGTATAGATAGTATAATTTTCCGCCGAATGGGGTTCGGATGAACCCCCTAGCAATAAGCTAGCTCCGCCCCTGGTTGGGTCTTGACCCGTTTATTGTCCATTTTGACCTGCCCAAATTTAACCCAACCCGCCCAATTGCCACCCCTAGTTTGAATAGATCTGAATTATTAAAATATTTAATAAAGTCTTAATAACATTAAGACATCTTTAAAAATGATTCTCCAAAGATGGTAAGTTCAACATCTTAGTTATTCAGGTGTGCATTCAAATCTAGATATCTAAATCTTAATATTTAGATGTGTATTTAAATTCAAACATCCTCATCTTAATGAAACAAATGAGGCTTTACCAGACTTCATGATTTTACTTTTCTAGGCATAGAAGACTGCTTTCCGACCTAAGCGATAAATCCCAAGGGCAACTAGCACACAGTTTGAAACTCTTAATAGATGATGAGCCAACCCTTTAATCTTCACTTAAATAATTGCTCTGCCACCTTCTTTATCAAAACGTAGTTGTTTACCCACCTTTTGAGTTAAAGCTTATACTTTTGTTTTGGAGAATAAGTTAAGGCATATACTTGAAAGACAAGGTTCGCCTTGAAGTTACTACAACTTTCACATGTAACCTCCACATTTGTATCTCAAAGTCAAAGATTTAAGGTCATAAAAGCAGTTGAAGCAGGAGCAAATGTTGACCACACTAACTAGATATATAGACATAGCACATATTCATAACTGATGGCCAGAGCAACCTGCAAATCTAAACCAGAGGGAAATCTGAGCAGCTCTTTCAGAGGAATAGATAGCCGTAGATCCCACAGGACAGCTTCAAATTCCAAACCAGGAACTTATCTTGTGCTAGCCCGAAGATCTAACGTGACAATCACTAAGCTATTGGGCAGCCTCATAGTCCACACTGATTTTTATTAGCACACAAATAATGTCTAAAAATGTTTACACACACTTACCGCTGATAGCAACTCTGGCCTAAGAAGGTTTCCGCACGGCACAAGCTACCAAAATAGCAAAGTCTTACAGGCACAAAAATTTTGCTATGTTGGCTCTCTTGTTTAAAAGTCACATGAAAAACAATACAGATAATCCAAACCTCCCCCACCCCCAAACAAACCAAGATAAGAAAAGGAAAAAAGAAGCAAATTAGAAAAGAAAAAGTGGGAAAGGAAATGAGTAAGAAGCAAAAATGGTTCAAATGCAGAAAGAACCCCACAAGAGAAGTTAGGCAACTCACAGAGGATCTACAAGAGGAGTCAAACTCGAAATGTCCTCTGAAGATGATGGAAAGAAGTGATTGAAGAGTTGATGCTCCAGCTGACAGACCTGCATTTACAATGTCAAACGTAAGGTATGGAGAGACATATATCACAGTTTACCCTAATATGCCTTTAGCAAGACTTTGTTTGAAGCAACATCAGATATTTACTTTGACAATAGTGATATGCAGAAAAACATATAGAAGTTATGATTCCATCCTCAAAGAAACCAAGGCTGCTATAGTTTTACCACATTTATCCTAAATCCAACTAGAGGAAAGATTCATCTACACTAAGATGAGCTAACCATTGAAAGAAAAAATAAGGCGTGGCTCTCTAATTTACAACAAATTACTGATTTTTTTGAGAATGAGAACTATATACTTTGAATTAATCTTGTCAAATAAAAAGAAAAATGAATGTTGATTGCTCATATGACTATCAAAACTGGGAGGTCAACCTTGAATTGAGTCTTTTCATCTTCTTCTTATACCCCCACCCCCACCAACACTAAATAAAACCACCACCAACACCATAAAAAGAACAGTCATCCAATTTTTGTAAGGCAAGATATAACAATCATACCATTCTCTAGTACAAAATGTTGTAAATAGTACCGATGTCATTTGAATGTACCTGCATTAAATATGCACATCCAGATCTAGTTAAAGACGACAATGCTTCTTTCCTGGAAAATTCAGAGATCCGCTGTTGCACTATACCTCTTATCTGAATTAAATGAAACAGAATGAGTACTGATTAAAATGACAAAACAAGGAGAAGAAAAAAACAAGAAAAAAGCCATATATATTGATCTATAGAACTAAAAGGAGCAGCTTACTACTCACCAAGGAAAGGCGCTGTTCACAATAGAGTTTGTGGCATTCTTCAAGAAGTTGAATATACTCTTTTCTAGGTGTTCTGCTTTCAATTTCCTCCAAGATAGGCTTAAGCTGCATGTAACTAGGTTCATTTGGTTCATGGATAACACGTAAAAGCTAGTCCTAGATTCTTTTCTTCTTCTTTTTTCTTTTTTTTTGAGATTAGAAATACTCACTCTCATACAACGAATTAATAGAGTTTCTACAAACTAAAAGGCAAGGAGATGTTCCAATGTTACCTCATTTGCTGCAGCCTTGAAGCGTACATATATTATAGATGACTCTATACCCTCGGCAAAAGATGTTTTGCTACCACCACTGCTTCTTATTGCAGCCTGAACCTGATAAAATGGGTGTATTTATCTCAGGATATGAAACCATTCATCTGCAAGAAAAGATTGTAGTGCATAAAACAAACATAAAACAGATTTACCTGAGAAGAAGTGCTTCTAAGAACGGAAAGAACATGAGAGCGAATCATTCCCAGAGCTCGAGACTGTTACAGGGGGGCCAAGGTAACACAGACAGAGAGAAAGAGAATGGGCAATGGGATTAGAATTCTTATGTCCAAGAATGTCATAAAATCATGCCTTGTATAAGAAATGTGATTTCATATATGATAGTAGATTACATAATGTTGATGTCAATTCTTTTAAGTACCTGAAGTTGTCGAAACTTGACCAAATAAATGCTGCACTCTGCATATTGTGGGTTACTCTCAACATATCTTCAGTGACGCAGAGGAGAAACACAATGGTTATTTGTGCTCTTACGCATAGATTACAAGCTTAATTCAATAGAACTTAATCTTGATAAAAGAATTCACATCCCTAGAAGAAACCTGTGACTCTAGACATGTCCACATGGTAAACTTCACAAATAACCAAAGAAAAGTAGGGATGGTACAACATTGCAGTGGTTCTAATATTCATATATTTCAATGCAGTAATATGAAATGTAATGTCACTTACGATATGCACTCATCAAGTCTCTTAAGCAATGGAAGAAAATTTGTACTACCAACGCTCATGCTAGGAGAATAAAAAGTGGTTGCAACCTGCAAACAAGAGTGCAAGACAAGCATGAGGAATCAAATCAAATCAAATAAAAAAAAACAGAAAACAGAAAACTGGGTACTTTGACATTTAGAGAAGTTCAAGTAGAAGAAGAGCAGGACTTGAAGAGAAAATTTAGCACAAGATAAATCAAGTTGATGCAATGCCCCAATTAGATGTAATTAAACAAAAAGGCATTAGAAAATTTTAGGCTAATAGTCATGATTAAATCAAGAATATCTACAGTGGAGAGTGAAAAAGCTATTCCTCTATAAGGAATTTAAAAACAGGAACTCTCAGTTTCAAAAAAATAAAAAAATTAAAACAGGAACTCTCATTCTCAATCTCACAAGTGAAGATTTTCCTTTAGAAACCACCAAGCATATAAATAGGAGAAATAAGAGTTGACCAAAAGACGAGATTAAAGAATCACCTTAAATAAATAACTTGCTAAGCAAGAACATCAAAATAATCCAAAAGCACTAGATTGGAAAAGCCAAGAAAGAATAGCTTTGGGTGACTCATTTGTAACATGAGGAAGAAAACAATCTAGAATCAAAGCTTTCTTTACAAAGGATAAAGCTCCGCCCTCCGGTGTATGGGTGTGGAAAAAATTTAATTAAAAAACATGAAATCTCTTGAGGCAGAAAGCTCTCATTTCTTAAAGCTGTTTTCCATAGTTCAAACTCTCAGTTAGGTATATTTCCTCACCAATGTATCAAAGCATAAAAAATACCGATAGCATTAATTCTCTCTTCACTCAAAATAAAGTTGATGCAGAACCATACCCAATTCAGCATAGGCATAGATAGACTACTGTGGAAATAGTGCAAAAGGCATTGAATAACAATGGAATATTATCAACATAAATGGCAGTCGGACCTTACATTCTCCAATTCATCAAAGTAATTGAGCTTATTGTGAAGTGATTCTGCAAACTCAATTAATTTCTGCTTCTCCAAAAGCTGCAAATAAAAAAGAAATTACACAAGAAGATTATTCAATGCTGCTTCCTGTTGTTAATTATTGCCTCTTTACCTGTACATCACATGTCCGTTAATATTAGACACTGATAGGGAACTCCGAATTTCAAATGCCACCCACTGGACATCGGAAATATACAATATTGACATGAATTGTAACTAGATAATGCTTTAAGTCAAACAGCAACTTCAGATAGAAGAAAAGACAAGAAAACGCAAAATGAAGAAATGCATTTACAAGGTACTAGGTGGCAATTGAAGATGTTTGGCAACTATTAAAGATATCATAGACTTTAATCCATCAATACAGTAGATTGGCAATGAAGACTTTCAACATCATAGAGTAAAAAACAATGTCTATTAAGAAATTGAACTCCATAGTTACAAGCCTATTTTCTTATCATACAATTAATTGTTCCTCTGCTGCTCAGAATTTTGAACAGAGTGAAAGAGAAAAGTACAATCTACAGCTAAAGTAACCACAGATGCTAAGAGAAATGGGTTGACACACCAGTCTATCGCACGCATCATGAAGAGTTCTAGTCTTTGTCGCCACTGTTTGATGCTGCAATTGCAGCTCATTGAACAAGTCAAGTGTTTCATCCACCTGCAAGAGAGCCATTTTTAAGGGCAAGGGCATGTCGACTCGAAAGCAAGCATAGATAGATGAACAGCAACAACAAAAAGGCTTAAGAGAAGAGTATAAGAGCATTGATTTTCTTCTCAGAATACCTGGTGAAGTATACTATCGCAGGTCTGAATCTGCTCTGTTAAGGTGCTGACATAATGCTGATATTTTTCTTCAGTCTATGCACAGAAAGAAAGCATATGTAATATTTTTTTATCAGCAAGTGAAAATGATGAAGCATATGACTCATAACTTTTGGATGAAACGGAAGACATATAAACAAACTAAAGACCAACCTCTGATTTCATGGCAGCTTCAAGATCCGCGAACCACTTATAAAACTGTATCAACAAAACAGCACAAAGGGGAAGAGGAAAGTCATATCAAGTTCAAGCAGCATTAGAGGAAAGGTCAACTTAATATGCCATTTATATCATCATTTACAAAGACAACTAAGCATATGCAGTATTCAAGCATATACAAGAATGCAACGCAAAGATTGCCATGGAAACAAATTTGGAAAACTGAAGCTCCTTATTAAGTGGCTTGCTTTTGCTGGACAGTGAAATATGAAGCAGTACTAATAGAGCAATTCCTTCAAGAAAGCTGCCTGAATATATGCAAAAAGTGTTACATGTGTGAAATGAGGTCCGAGGATGTTAATTAACTCCACTGCACTGCCTAACCTGACAGTTGTGACCAGTTACCTTTTACATTTTTGAAATTAAAGAATCATGCAAATGAGGGGGGGGGGGTTTAGCTCCATTAGCTCCAGTGGTTCTTTGGAAGGAGAGAAGTAGGAGGTCTTTTGAAAGGGGTGGATATTTCGTACAGTTGAGAAATAACCTCCTATAGTTATTTTTTTGTGCACTCACAAGGTTCTTGTGTGTATAAATTGTTGGATGTCTTTGACAGAGAACTCTTTTTTTGTGATAAGGTATATAATTTCATAATGATCGAAAAATCTCCTTATCAAAAGACATTAGAATAAAACAAAAGGAGAAAAAGAAAATAACTTCTAGGGCTACTAAAGTTCAAATATGGAGGAGAGTTCTAGAACAAATTGCTTTGCATGTCTTTCTGATATATAGACACAACTATTGCTCCGCTCAAACAGGCAGGATCAAGGCCATAAACAGCCACTATGGTCATCATCCCTTAACACATATCAGGGTCATTTCTCACTAAATGTAAGTTCTAGTCATCCTTTGCCTGGCATAAGGTGTTTCCTCTCTAGTTAATGACAATCGTCAGGACCAAAATGAGAGGCATATTATCTAGTAAGCCAAAACAATGGATGGAGCTTTGTAACAAGCAATTATCAGGCCGTCTGTTCAACTCATCGATTTTAGCAGTTACCTTATCAAAAAGAAGATATTCACTGGTTTAGCAGTAATGTGTGGCTGATGAGCCTTTGAGTATAGCACACTACAACTTCTAGTCTTGCACAAATATAACTCTATAATTTAGCATTGGTTGCAAGATTTTATTAGTTTTGATTCCTTGCCCAACATTTAGATGATAATGCCACCTTTTGATAAGGGAATAAATCATTCACGATCCCTTATTTGAAATATGGAATATTAAGATCTGCAACCTGGAAATGTAAAAAATAAAGGGCGTGCCAACTAAAAATTGGGTTTTTTTTAATCAGGTAAATATTTTTTCATTCATATCCATGGGCAAACTGGCCGTATACAAGGGGTATACCAAAAGGTAAAGCATCTACAACAAGATATGACTGTCTACAAACTCCACCCAGTCATCTATACACCAGGTACTCTCTGTGGCACCAAAAGAAAATAAGGGAACAGAGACTACTCCTCAACTGGAAGGAAACTCGACTCTACTCCTTCAAAAGTAACTCACCTGATTTGTATTCACTAGGACTGCTTCAATGGCCCCTGAATCCTCCAGAGAACTTAGCTTTGTTGAAACAGAGAGACTGTTATCATGTCCAGAAACTTGATCCTGGAAATTGAAATAAAAACATATTTCAGGTAATTGAGTTAGAGATAGATATATTCTGAAACCAACCAAGAAGGAAAAACTCACCAAATTGGACGGGAAAGGTCTCTCAGCAACTGCATGGGAAAGTGCTTGTATGGCTGCTTGTTGTTGCTCTGTTAACGGAGCATTCTGTAAGAAGAAAACTAGTTCAAGTTGTTGAAGAATATAAACATCAAGATAGCCACTAATGCTGATTTAGTTAATCAAAAGGAAAAACTTTCAATAGACATGAAATAGACACATGTAGTACGTACAAACAATTCTTTTCTTTCAATACAACAATATAATTTGACATGGTGAGGGCCACAAACGCAAAATAAAAGATCAAATCCAGGATGGAGGTGATTATTGATATGATGATTTTCCAATAGCAATTGCAAGAATAAGCTAAAACTAAAAGTGTCAGCAAATATTAGTTAGCCAGTGCTTATACGAGGAAAAAGAGAAGCAGTGTCACATTACAATGAGAATAAAACATCAAAAGATAGTTTAATTGAGAATATGCGACACAATTACCAGCAGCTAAATCTTTCCATTGAAAATAGACAACAAACACATGTTTGAAATCAACTGAGAGGACTTTATGGCACAAAGAAACAATTTGATCCCCCTTTTTTCTCCTTTTTTTGGGTCAGTGGTAAATTTTATTAGAGAAACTCAGTACCAAGATATTACTGAGATAAAGCAGAAGGATTTTCTTAAGTTGTAAGGAATCCAAGAAGTCTAGCAATACATCAATGTTAGTATCACATATTTTCATCCCCTTTTCCAAACACCACTTTACTATTCATTATTTCAGCAGGATCATCAAATTTGTCATAGAATCAGAGATCTACATATAATTTTGGTTATGCATTCACACAAATCTAGTAAATCTGGAGAAAATCTGAACAATGTAGAAAATAGGAAAAAGGAAAATAGAGAGTGAACCTGTTCCCAAGTAGAAGCGAAATTATAGCCTTTGGAAATAGCTTCGGACTTGGGAACACCAGGCCTTGTTGCCGTCGCCATGAGATTATCAATACTCTCTTCTTCCACAACTTTGCAACTGTTTCTGTTTGTGAAAAAGCAAAATGAAGCAGAATTGATGAAAAAATGTGGGGAAAACTGCCAGTCACTGGTCAATTACTGTTTACTGATACCAAAACAATCAATACGAGAGATGATTGTGGCGATTACCATATGGCTTCAATGGAACCAATTTCGACTTCGAAGTTGAAAAAAAAGGTGCTTTGAACGATGAAGTTGAAGATCTGGGGATGATCCTCTGCCTTAGCTTTGTGTTTTCTGCTCATATGAAAATTACACAAACGACGTTGTTTTCAATAGTAAGAGCGTATAAGGATAATTGTATACCTGTCTTAAGCATAAACGACTACAAATCTTTGGCTAATTAGTATTAATATTTTTAAAATATAAATAACTAGGTATTGCCCGTGCGAACTACGTCAATAATCTACTTCAGAACATTTAATAATATAAGTGTTTTCGAGTCGGTACAATCCTACAATAAATTGTCAAGAATATTTTATCCAAAGATGAAATGAAATACTTAAAACCAAAAAGATTTGATTCTAAGTGTTTATACATTTTGTTATTAATTCTTCATTTTACGGTAGTTTTTCATAACCAAAGTCTTTAGAAAAGATATGTAATTGTTTCATTGTCTATATTTGTATTTTTAATAAAGTGGTACAAACATTTTATTCATCAATTGCAAGAGTTTTTCTCCTATTCAAGACCTCTACATACAGAATCCAAATACGGAAAAGGGTCAAAATTGCCCCCGAACTATATGAAATAGACCATTTATACCCTTCGTTACATTTTGGGATAAAAAATGCCCATGTTGTTATCGTAAGAGACCACAAATACCCTCAAGAGTTAACACCTCAAATTTTTGTTGACGTGGCAAGCCACGTGGGACTAATCCTTCCACCTAAGCATTGTCAACTAGGATTCACTACAAAAGAACTAGACCTTTAGCAGCAACAACAGTCGCCACAAAAGCCCAGAAAATCGACACTAAAAGTTTGTAACATTAAATTCTAATTTTGTGTTTTTTTCTTCATTGTTTTTAAAAAACCAAATATGATATCGATTAAGTATGAGTTTGAAGACACTATATGTTTTATTTTTATGTCATATGTAAATGTATAAAATGTACAATGATGCATTATATATATATATAGTGTAGGAGATTTGAATCGAGAAGTAATTTTGATTATTTTTCGTAATAATATTGGATGTTTTTAATATGGATATTGCAAGTTATTTATTTTAGAAAATTAGGTCGCAATCGAAAATTAATTATCATTTTTTTTTTTTGAAAAATAGGTTTTACTAACAAATGGTTGTTGGAGCCTTAGTCGCCACTAAAAATCACTCATAACCTTTAGTGGCAATATTTTGGGATTTTGTGGCGACTTTGTCGCCACTAAACGTCAAGTTCTTTTGTAGTGAATCTTAGTTGGTAATGCTTAGGTGGAGGGATTAGTCCCATGTGGCTTGCCACGTCACTAAAAAAATTGGGGTGCTAACTCTTGAGGGTATTTGTGGTCTCCTGGGATAACTGCGGGGGTATTTTTGATCCCAAAATGTAATGGAGGGTATAAGTGGTCTATTTCGCATAATTCAGGGGCAATTTTGACCCTTTTCCGATCTAAATATTATACATCTTACATAATTAGTTGTATACTTGATAAGTTAATTAAAATTTAAAAACACGTCTCTTGGAGTTCAACGGAATAACATATGTTGCTCAATAATTTGGATTAAATGATGTCTTGGCAAGTCCTTATTCAAAATCATTCGCAGTCGATGACACTACTTTGATAGTCAAAAGGCATATTTTGTTGTTTATGTTTCGATCAATATGGATAAAACTTTATATTTTTTGCGACTTTTAATCTAATGTTTATAAGGAGTTAATTATTTCTTTAATATTTGATTAATATGGATTCATCCTACTTTGAGGGGTAATTCATTGACCTCAATCCAACATTCGAACCCCAAACTTTTGATTAAGGTTGAGTACAATGCTTACCATCCCACAACATTCCTTTATTTTTTAGATGTCACTAATCAATTGAATGTCTCGATAAGATAGAACGTTGAATAACTAAAACTCCAAGGTAGTGTGGAATCACCATAACTTTTGAACACTCAAAAGTCCCTTCTTGGACATCCCATGGATTTTTTAGCCACCGAAAACTCTATAAAGATCAAAGTCATTTATTTTACAAGTTTAAGAATTCTAATCTTACATGACACTAGTAGTCTAATGATTACATAAAACTCTTGATTAACATATCTTTACTTCAACATAATGATCAAAAGCATAACATAAACAACAAAGTTTAAAACATGTACTCAAAAACAACATTTAATAACATAAGCATAAATTAGTGACTGTAAAAAAAAAAATCAAGATCTATAACAATAGAATGAAACATAAAGGAAATTATTCCCCTCTAGTACCCGAGGTTTAAAGGAATAGATCCTCTTATGATAGAATGATTCTATTCATCAGTGTATTGATACAAAAACAATGGTGTCAGTGAGTCACTCAACAGGAGCAAAGTACACGAATATTTAATTGTGAAGAAGAAGAAGTTTAGAATTTTCGTTGTTTTAAAATGAGAGGAAATCCTTCTATTTATAGACAACAAATGGTGCTTATTGTGCCTTATCAGAAAGGTCACAACTCTTTGGAAAAGTCACAACCTCTCATAAAAGTCACAACTTTTCATAAAAGTCACAACTTTTCATAAAAGTCACAACTTTTCATAAAAGTCACAACTCTTCATAAAAGTCGTAACTCTTCAGAAAAGGTGCATTAGTGGGAGTGCTTCTGTCACGCCCCGAGCTACCCCCGAGACGCGGACATGGGACCTAGGACCACAAGTGATCCCAAGCTAACCATGTTGGCATGATCATGAGCATACTAAAGAAAATAAATTGATGCGAAAGCTAAATCATAAATAAAATGAAAAATATGGGGATACCCATATACTATAACAGAGATATATGAAAACGGATGAGTTTAATACAAGGAAGATATTAACTCAATACTAAGTTGAATTTATCTATGTCTGAAATAAGCCTCTAAACTGACTAGAAATGTTGGGACATGCCCCAACTAGGTCTAGCAAAACTAAAACTAAAGACTAAAAGCAATAAAGATAAACATGTCACTAGTCCTCGAAGAATAAGGACTCACCACCGATGTGCTGAACTGAAGATCGAGAATCGATCTAAGTGTGATCTGGATGCTGAGAACCTGAATCTACATCACGAGAAGATGTAGCGCATGTATGCGTCAGTACTTGAAAGGTACTGAGCATGCAAGATAGAGTAAAGCTGAAAGAACATATAACTGAACAAATAATAAAGCAATGAACTAATATGAACATGATATAGATACTGAATACTGAATACTGAATACAAAGCTAACTGATGCAATGACCAAATTTATAACATGTTGAAACTGAATACTGATTGTACTGAAATATGGTCAATGCAATAGAGTCTGATTGAACTGTGGGAGCTACTAATAACCGACATAAAACCACATGAGCTAAATGTGAAGTCCGATGTATACGCCCCATCGAAAGGACCTAATATACCCTGTCAGAGGTATACAGGCATGCTGGCGTGATCACTAAACTGATGTTTCCCACAGAGGGGACTTACACCTACGTGGCTCGTAGTTCTGGGACTATATGGGTATGCTAAACCCTAGTCCAACTTGGTATTATGCTACTCCCAATGAATTAAGTGGTTAACTGGTTATGACTAAATTTCTGTAAAATACTGCATAGCTCAAAACTGAACATGCAAACTGAGAATGCAACAATTAATCTGATAATGATGCATTCATAAACTGAGGCATGTATAACTGAATACTGAAATATCTAACCTAGCATGTGTAATTCAAGAACTAAAGAAATACATAGCTAGGGTTCTGAAATTCATGCGACAAACGATGTAATAACATGATAATCTGATTTGGAACATGTTAATAACTAATTCATGATGATTTGCTATAATTCTAGAAACTCTAGGTCTATTCATAATAAGGGAATCAAGAAACTGACTGAATTCTAGGGACCCAATGGGAGAAAGGAACCCACTAGTGAAATTTCACATACCTGGTGACGAATTCCACGGAGAAATCTTTCAATTTCGGGGCCGAAACTGATGGAACCTTGTTGTGTTCTTGAACTAGGGTTCTTGACCTTTTTCTCCTCTCTTGCTTCTAATTTTCTAAGTTTTGATTAATGATTTGACTTGGATAAGTTCTAGTTATGTTTCTACGCTTAAATTGACTAAAACCTCATGATTTAGGGTCTAAACGACGTACCTTAGGGGTTAAACGAAATAGGAAAAGACCAAAAGACCCCTGACTTAACTGATGTCGGAGTGACCGACGGACGGGACTGACGGGCCGTAGGTCAATCGACGGTCCGTCGATTGGAGTCGTCGGTCGAGTCGGCCCGACAAGGCTTCACTAAAACGAGCATAACTTTTTACTCGAAGGTCGGATTTTAGAAAACTCGATGGCATTGGAAAGAGGATTCAATTATCTACCATATCATAGGTAATGGGACACATAATTCCTTTTGTGCTAAATGTTATGACCATCTGAAGTTGACCCACTCGATAATTTTCATCGAACTTGCTGCTGACTCTAACCTACGGTCAGGCCTACGAACTGTGCATCGAATGACGATCCATGCTGGTCAACCGTCAATCAGAACTGAAGCTGGGTTTTAGGGGCGTCGATCCATGAACACGAACCACGGTCCGTGACCTGACTTACGGACCGTAGGTCTGGCCATGGGTCAACACTTGGCCGAATTTCTGGCTGAGTTCTGGGGAAGGTTGCTGACACGAACCACGGACCTGCAGGATGGACCGTGGGTCCTCCTACGGTCCGTGGATGGTGCCCGTGAGTGCCACCTGCAACACCAGAAATCTGCAATCTGGTCTATTTTCGGATACAGGGTGTTACATTATCTCCCCCTTGGGACCATTCGTCCTCGAATGAAG